ATTCTTCATATTCCTACCTCTTACCCTTCCCCCTCTTTCATCAAATCCTCCCCTTCGTCTCTCTCTTACTCCTCTTTCTCCTACGCTCTCTTCTCTTCCTCCCTCCTCCTCACAGTCCGAATTCTAACGTCTGTTTTCTTTTTTGTTTATGATAGTGCTTCTCTTTGCCTTCATTTTTCTATGGTTACTATAGTTGAACTGTTATACACACACACACACACACACACACACACACACACACACACACACACCACACACACACACACACAACACACACACACACACAACACACACACACACACACACACACACCACGCACACCACACACACACACACACACACACACACACACACACACACACACACACACACACACACACACACACACACACACATACATATATATATATATATATATATATATATATATATATATATATTATATATATATAATATATATATATATATAGTGTGTGGGTGTTAAATAGATAGATAGATAGATAGATAGATAGATAGATAGAGAAGAGAGAGAGAGAGAGAGAGAGAGAGAGAGAGAGAGAGAGAGAGAGAGAGACTGACAGACAGACCAACAGACAAAGAATAAAGAATGAAAGAATGATAGGAAAAAAAAACAAAGATAAGAAAAAAAGAGAAAGAGAGAATAATAATAACAATAATAACAATGAAAATAATAAAATAATAATAATAACAATAAAGATAATATAATGATAATAATAATAACAATAATGATAATCATACTGATAATATAATAACATAAAAATAATAAAAATAATAATAACAATAATGATAATAATAAAAATAAAAAATAATAAAACAATAATAATAGCAATAATAATAATAATAAATAATAATAATAATAATAATAATAATAATAATAATAATAATAATATAAATATATAATAATAATAATAATAATATAACAAGAAAAAGAAAAATGATAATAAGCAGAAATGATATAACCAGATAATAATGATAATAATACAAATAATAATAATAATAATAATAATAATAATAATAATAATAATAAAATAATAATAATAATGATAATAATAATAATAATAATAATAATAATAATAACAATAAAAATATGAAATAATGATAATAATAACAATAATAAAAATAATAAAACAATAATAATAACAATAAAAAATAATAAAATAATAATAATAATAACAATAAAAATAATAAAACAATAATAATAACAATAATAATAATCAATAATAAACAATAATAATCAAAAATAACAATAAAAAAGAGAGCAAGAGCAGGCCAACACACGCGCGTCCCAGTAAGCAATAAGAAGCGTGGCCGTGACAGTCAAATTTTGCGTTAATCATATATTTCTCATGAAACTTCTCTTCGTGATTAATCTTAATCGTACCAGACACGGGGGGATAAACGCCCTTGCCAACATGTCTTTATAATTTGAGTAAGACATGTGTAATGGCGAATCTTGTGGCTTCTCTCTCTCCTCTTCTTTCTTTCTTTTCTCTCTCTTCTTTCTTTCTTTTTCTCTCTCTGTTTCTTTCTTTTTTCTCTGTCCCCTCTGTCTTTTCTCTTTTCTTTCTTTCTGTTTTCTTCTTCTCTTCTCCTCTCCCTCTCTCTCTCTCTCTCTCTCTCTCTCTCTCTCTCTCTCTCTCTCTTCTCTTCTTATCCTTCCTCCTTCCCTCTCTTCATTCATTGTCCACTTTCCTTTCTCTCTCTCCCTCTCTCAAAGTCAATCTTCTTTCCTAACTCCCGTCTCCCTTCTCCTCTCAATCTCCATCTCTTATCTCCTTCTCCTTCTCCTCTCTCTCTCCCCCTCATTCTCCTCCCCTCTCCTTCTCCTTCTTCCTCTCCCTCTCCTTCTCCAACTCCATCCTCCTCTTCCTTCTGCCTCTACTTCTCCCCTCCCCCTCTCCTTCTCGCACTCCTTCTCCTTCTCCCTCTCCTCCCCCCTATCCTTCCCTTCTCCCTCCTCCCTCTCCCTCCCTTCTCTCCTTCTACCTCTCTCTCCCTCTCCTTCTCCTTCTCCTCCTTCTCCTTCTCTTCTCACTCCCCTCTCGCCATCTCCCTCCCCTCCCCCTCTCCCCTCTCTTCCCCCTCCCCTCTCCCTCTCCTCTCGCCTCCCTCTCCCTCTCT